ATTTTCATAATTCATCTCCGATTTGTTCAAAATAGATTGGTGAAGCTGTAAAATGGCTATGGAAGAGTCAACTTTATCTTCTGGAGCTATGATTATGTTCATGTTCAACTATACGTTGTGGAAACCTCGGATGGAAGATTTCCTCAGCTGTAAAGAGCTCTTTGACCCAGTAGAGCTGAAGGGTACTAACCCTGATCCGTCCAAGGCGTTAGAATGGATAAAAATGAATAGAAAAACTATTGGTCAAATTCGACAAGGGATAGACCATAGTGTCTTCCATCATGTTGCACAAGAAACCGATGCATATGTCCTTTGGAGAAAGTTGGAGGACATGTACCAGGCCAAGACTGCTCGGAATAAGGCCTTATTGATGAGGCACTTAGTCAATATGAATTTGAAAAGTGGAACTTCTGTTTCCGAGCATAACAGTGAGTTCCAGAGCTTGGTAAAACAGATGTCTTATGTGGAGATGCCACTTGGAGATGAAATGCAATCTCTGCTACTTCTTAGTTATCTTCCTGAAAGCTGGGAAACACTTGTTGTTACTCTCAGCAATTCAGCCTCAAATGGCAAACTTTCCATGTCCGTTGTGAAGGATGCATTATTCAATGAAGAGGCAAGAAGGAAAGACATGGGCACAAATCAGACCCAAGCCCTTATGATGGAGAATCGAGGAAGACCACAAGGCAAGCAACAAAGAAGCGGTAGAGGGAAGAGCAGGGGTAGAAGCAAGAGGAGGCAATCAGATGATCGGAAATTACATGTGTGCTATCATTGTGGTCTAGAAGGTCATATGAAGAAGAATTGCTATAAATGGCTCGAGGAGCAGGGCAAGAGCAATTCTCAGCCGAAGAATAGTTCTCAGCAGAAGAACAAGGGCAAGGGTGGTGAAACTCTCATCACTGTCTCAGGTTATGTAGCATATTGCTCTAACCATGGTGAGACGTGCCTTCATGTCTCAAGAGAAGACATTGAATGGGTGGTAGATACTGCAGCATTCTATCACATTACTCCCAACAGAAAATATTTCACAACATACAAAGCTGGAGACTTTGGATCAGTGAAGATGGGAAATTCCAGTTCCTCTGAAATTGCCAGAATTGGTGATATCCAGGCAACAACAGGAACCGAGAGTACAATTCTGTTGAAGGATTTCAGACATGTGTCGGATCTTAGGCTGAATCTTTTGTCAATGGTGGCTCTTGACAAATAAGGATATGAAAATCACTTTGGCGTAGACACATGGAAGTTGTCAAATGGTGTTCTAAAAATTGCGCGAGGACATGTTTGTGGGACGCTGTACAAAACACATTCGAAGATTAATACAGAAAGTCTCAATGTTGCAGAGGATGTTTCTCAGGATCTATGGCACCGGAGACTTGGTCATATGAGTGAGAAAGGGTTAACTACCCTGATGAAGAAGAACCTTATAAAGGTTGATAAGAGTGCAGCGATGGGTTCTTGCAGTCATTGCCTGTTCGACAAGCAGCATAGAGTCTGATTTAATACCAATTCAACAAAGATATTAGAGTTGTTAAGCTTGGTACACTCTGATGTTTGCGGTCCCATGGAGGTTGAATCACTGGGTGAAAGCAGATATTTTCTGACTTTCATTGATGATGCTTCTCGAAAAGTGTGAGTATATTTCCTGAATTCGAAGGACTAGGTGTTTTAGTACTTCAAGGAATTTAACGTCATGGTGGAACATGAAGCAGGAAAGAAGCTGAAATGTCTTCGATTTGATAATGGAGGCGAGTATACTTCCAAGGAGTTCAATGGATATTGCATGACATATAGCATTCGACATGAGAAGTCAGTACCACGTACCCCTCAGCACAACGGTGTTGCTGAAACAATGAATCGGACTATCATGGAGCGTGTCCGAAGCATGATGAATATGGCTAAATTACCAAAGCTATTTTGGGGAGAAGCTGTCAAGACCGCATGTTATCTAATCAACCGATTACCTTCAGTACCATTAAATTTTGCTGTTCTAGAGAGAATATGGATTGGTAAGGATCCGTCATACTCACATCTCAGAGTATTTGGTTGAGTAGCATATGCCCATGTATCCAAAGAGCTCAGAAAGAAGCTCGATGCGAGGTCAATCCCATGCATTTTCATTGGTTATGGAGATTAAGAGTTTGGATACAAATTTTGGGATCCAAAGGAGAAGAATGTGATTAGAAGTAGGGACGTTGTGTTCCAAGAAAATTTGACAATAGAAGAAATCGAAAAGCCAAGATGTTTCAAAAGTCAAATGTGGGTGAGAAAGTTTCAGATGAAGCACCAATATTATTCCAGAGAAACAATGAAGATGATGTACCAGAAGAAGAGGAGGAGATAAAAGAGAGTGCCGAGCAAGGGGAGCAACAACCCATCTTGCTAGAGCAAGGGGAGCCACAACCTATTTTGCCAGACACCAATGTTGGAAGTTCTTCTCAGATGGCTTTACCCACTTGTAGATCTGAACGAGGCCACATACCATCAAAAAGGTACTCATCATCTGAATACCTTCTATTGACAGAAGATGGAGAACCAGAGAGTTTTCAATAAGCCATATCTCATAAGGATTAAAAAAATGGATGGTTGCGATGCAGGAAGAGTTAGATTCTCTGCAGAAAAATCAAACTTATGAGATTGTTAAACTTCCATAAGGAAAAAAGTCTTTGAAAAACAAATGGGTGTTCAAGCTGAAGTAAGATGCAAATGGACAAGTGGTGAAACACAAAGCTCGATTAGTTGTCAAAGGCTTCTAGCGGAAGAAAGGGATTGATTTTGACAAGATCTTTGCACTAGTTGTCAAGATGACATCAATTCGAGTCATACTTGGCTTGGCAACAACTATGAATTTGGAGCTTGAACAAATGGATGTGAAGACAACTTTTCTTCACAGAGATTTGAATGATGAAATCTATATGCAACAGCCAGAAGGTTTTGATGTTTCAAGTGAAAACCTCGTGTGCAAGCTATCTAAAAGCTTATATGGTCAGAAGTAAGCACCAAGACAGTGGAATATAAAGTTTGACTCATGCATGAAGAGTCAAGGTTACAAGAAGACTACTGCAGATGAGTGTGTTCACATCAAGAGATACTCAAACGGGGTTTTCATAGTTCTTCTAATGTACGTCGACGACATGTTGATCGTTGGGAATGATGCAGAGAAGATAAGTAAACTGAAGAAAGAACTTTCCAAGTCTTTTGATATGAAAGATTTAGGAAAGGCTCAACATATTCTTGGGATGCAGATTACTCGAGACCGAGAGAACGACAAGTTATGACTATCTCAAGAGAAGTACATTGAACGAATACTTGAAAGATTCAATATCAGTGATGCCAAACCAGTGAGTATCCCACTTGCGAATCATTCCAAGTTGAGCAAAAGATCATTTCCCACATCCAAGGAAGAGATGGGGGAGATGTATGCAGTGCCATACTCTTCAGCAGTTGGAAGTTTGATGTATGCAATGGTATGTACCAGGCCAGATATTGCTCATGCAGTGAGTGTAGTGAGTCGTTTTCTTTCTAACCCCGGGAAGGAGCATTGGGAGGCTGTCAAATGGATTCTCAGATACTTGAAGGGTACTTCTAAGTTATGTCTTTGTTACGGGGGAGCTGATCCAGTCTAGGAAGGATATACTGATGCTGATTTGACTGGAGATATTGATTATCAAAAATCTACTTCGGGCTATGTCTACACTTTTGCAGGGGAAACTATTTATTGGCAATCAAGATTGCAAAAGTGTGTTGCTTTATCTACAACAAAAGCTGAATATATTGCTGCCGTTAAAGCTGGTAAAGAAATGTTGTGGTTAAAGCGCTTTCTCCAAGAACTTGGGGTTAAGCAGAAAGAGTACAAGGTATATTGTGATAGTCAAAGTGCTATTGACTTAAGCAAGAACTCTATGTACCATGCCCGTACAAAGCATATTGATGTTCGATATCACTAGATACGCGGTTAAGATTTTAAGAACTCTTTGCACAAGTTGTTAAT